AGTGGAATCAGAGACGGTCCTGCTAGGTGTGTGGTGCATGCATGCACGCGGGCTGCCAAATCCCGAGGGTGCCATACCGGTCAATGTCAAATGCCTCTATTCTCGCATCACTAGTATAGCTCAAAAGACGGGACAGGGTTCTTGTATATTTTAAACGTTTTTCACCATAGCTGTAAAAGTCTAAATATGTTAAACATAATAGTCATTTGTTTTCTAACTAATTCGTTTTAGGACCAAATGTCCTCGGAAATTACCAAAATTTACAACTTTTCGGTCACTCTCATTGAACTGGAAAAATTTCTGTTTTTATTACATTAATAATACGAAGAAATCAGTTTTCACTGTACTTGGCTAAAGATGGTTCGGTTAAGCTTTTGCTTAAGTAAAATTTTGGCTCTTTCGTCAGGATTTTGTTTATGTCCCCAACAGTGGCGTGCCGTGACATTTGATGATAGGGAAGCTGTGTTTCTGCAAGAAGCCGACATCCAGGGGCAATCAGTCAATTGCGCGTCAGTGATGGTCTAGGGTCCATTCGTATCGTTAATTCGATAAGCCAGTAAAAACCGTAAACTTCTCTAAATGCATTTTCAATATCGCAATTACATTCCGAATCGCTAGCCACGATATAAGGGTTAAAATTAAAAATAAAATTATAAAAACTTACTTGGTGAAATAAAATATGTGGTGGATATACATACCTGGTACAAAACATTCTTCAATTGTATGAATATACTTATAAAGAAAATTATAATTAAATATAGCTTTGTAATGAAACGTACATAAAAATAACATAAAATATTCTTTACTCTTTAAATCTTAACCACTTAGTCAAATAGCTCCCTACAAGTGGAATCAGAGACGGTCCTGCTAGGTGTGTGGTGCATGCATGCACGCGGGCTGCCAAATCCCGAGGGTGCCATACCGGTCAATGTCAAATGCCTCTATTCTCGCATCACTAGTATAGCTCAAAAGACGGGACAGGGTTCTTGTATATTTTAAACGTTTTTCACCATAGCTGTAAAAGTCTAAATATGTTAAACATAATAGTCATTTGTTTTCTAACTAATTCGTTTTAGGACCAAATGTCCTCGGAAATTACCAAAATTTACAACTTTTCGGTCACTCTCATTGAACTGGAAAAATTTCTGTTTTTATTACATTAATAATACGAAGAAATCAGTTTTCACTGTACTCGGCTAAAGATGGTTCGGTTAAGCTTTTGCTTAAGTAAAATTTTGGCTCTTTCGTCAGGATTTTGTTTATGTCCCCAACAGTGGCGTGCCGTGACATTTGATGATAGGGAAGCTGTGTTTCTGCAAGAAGCCGACATCCAGGGGCAATCAGTCAATTGCGCGTCAGTGATGGTCTAGGGTCCATTCGTATCGTTAATTCGATAAGCCAGTAAAAACCGTAAACTTCTCTAAATGCATTTTCAATATCGCAATTACATTCTGAATCGCTAGCCACGATATAAGGGTTAAAATTAAAAATAAAATTATAAAAACTTACTCAGTGAAATAAAATGTGTGGTGGATATCCATACCTGGTACAAAACATTCTTCAATTGTATGAATATACTTTTAAAGAAAATTATAATTAAATATAGCTTTGTAATGAAAAGTACATAAAAATAACGTAAAATATTCTTTACTCTTTAAATCTTAACCACTTAGTCAAATAGCTCCCTACAAGTGGAATCAGAGACGGTCCTGCTAGGTGTACGATGCATGCATGCACGCGGGCTGCCAAATCCCGAGGGTGCCATACCGATCAATGTCAAATGGCTCTTTTCTCGCATCACTAGCATATCTCAAAAGACGCGATATAGTTGTAAATTTTAAACGTTTCTCGCCATAGCTGTAAAAGTCTAAATATGTTAAACTTAATAGAATGTCCGTCATTTGCTTTCTAACTAATTCTTTTTAGGACCAGGTGTCCACAGAAATTTCAAAAATTTACAACTTTTCAGTCACTCTCATTGAACTGGAAAAATTTTTGTTTATATTACGTCTAATATTACGAAGAAATCAGTCCCCACTGTACTCGGCTAGAGATTGGATCGGTTAAGCTTTTAAGTAATATTCCAACTCTTTCAGCAAGGTTTTATTTTGTCCCTAGTTCCCTAATCGCTTAATTATTTAACTACTTCTTAAGTAGAAATAAGTCGAACCGGTTACTTTATACTCGAATATTTGTAGTCTCGGGAAAAAGTGGAAAGAAATTTTTATGACAACGGATACATAAATCGTAAATTTAAGAAAAATAAATTCTAGAGCTTTTTCTGTACCTCGTGCATCTCTCTCATTCATTAAATTTACTTGTAAATGATGCTATCAAAGTAACAGTTAATTTTTAAACAATGTACAAGAATTGTACACGTTTTTTTCCTACATCCCCTTAGAGTGGGACATACGAAATCATAACATCACTGGTTTAACATTGAAATCCGTAAGTAATATAAGATGGGTTGTTGTTAAGTTCCATCAAGTCGTCGTCGACTCCTGGTGACTGCATGGACAAGAAAAGACTTGTCCATGTAGTCCAATATAAGATGGGAGAGCGGAATAAAAGCAAAATAAATACATCAAATATTTTAATGGATTTTTTAAAACTTCTGTCAACTATACAGAACTATCATAAAAACATACCGGTAAATTCTTATCGGTTGGGTTATGTTATAAATCTACTCGTGATTCACATAATCGGGCGAGGGCGGCTAACAGCCCAGAATCGGTCCTGGATAGAATTGGAAGCATTATAAGTGTGTAGCTTCCACCGGCCAAACCGGGTGAGGTTGGTGCTCTGTAAAGCGCGTGCGCAAATCTTGCTGTTTGGAAGCTGACGATACAGCGCTTCCACCCCGACACTAATATTCGAATATACAATAGTGATCTTATCTTTTTTTTTCACATGTAGTATAGAAATTTGTAATAAAATACATAATGCAGCTATAATAAAATATTGTGGGATTATTTTCATATAATTAAAATTAATATGTATTTATTTTTTAGAAAATACAAGGGAAGCGGCGCTTCCACCGCTTCCAATGACGGCACGCCACTGCAATAGGAAAAGCAAAGCTCTTGAATTGCGCTTTCAAAATCACACGAGATTGAAATTCCAAAAATCACATGGGAGCCTGATATAAGTTTTAATCCATTCCCATATGAAAACAGATGATTATTCGAAAATCAAAAGTCCGAGAAACTGATAAGTGTAATTGACGGAGAGTGGATTTGACTGTTAAGAATTGGCAAAAAAAAAGGTTCCCGATTGTCCATCTTTACATGAACAAATTATGTTGTCGATTTTACAAGATGTCTTTTTAAAGTTTAAAATGCCAGTAATTTTTGCAGGACATTTACATTCACTTGATATTTTACTTGTGATTAAACGAAATAAATCTAATTTTCTTTATTTTGATCTTTAAAGTCACACCTCGTCCTATATGCGAGTAAATACGGTATTATAAATAAATATTAACTATTATAAATTAATATTAACTATTAAGTAACATAATAGTTATTATTTGATAGTAGTACATCTGAGAGGCAATCTAATTATGGCTGTAATTTGTAATTTCAAAAGCTACTTTTTAATTTTAAAATTTTATTCAGTTTATGGCTGTTAATAATATATTCTTTGTATGAAGTTAAAAAAAATATATATATAACATAAGTATATAATTGTTTGATATTGACTATTACTTTTGGATTTAAAGCAAAAATTAGTTAGAGTCTGCTGAATTATTTATAAAATTAACAAATACTTTATTTTAATTGTTTTGGCATAAAATTTGAACAATATACTATTAAATGAAATATGAAAAAAGCATATATGTTTATTTTGAACAAGTTATTATTTTTTATGTACAGACTAGAAGAAACATTATTTGAGACTTGCTTCATATTTATACAAAATAAAGTAATTTCTACAGTCAGTATAGTTTCTTTTAAAAAGTATATTCTGCTTGAATGTATTACACACTCATAAATACTGAAATATAATAAGCTTTCATTAAAAGAATTATGCAAACATTTTTGCATCTTTTTATAGAAATAAAGCAAGGTTTTAATCATGACTAGAATTAAAACTATTTAGAGATGAAGAAACAAAAATTTGTTTCTTGTCAATTATCTAAACTTCATACATGCCATTTAAAACTAGTTTTTAGTTTACTTATGTCTGCAAGCTGGACAGATATTTGCTTTCACTTAATTGGTAATGGTAAAAACAAAAAAAAATCTTAAAATTATTAGCAGTTATTTTATATCCCCAAAATGTCCTAATATATAACAAACTTTAACATTGTATGTATGTCAGCAAATAGAAACTTAACTGAAATGTTATAACACATTCCAGCAACAATTACAAGTCAATAAATTGTAACTTAGATCATACTAGCTGTGGCTTTATAGTGGAAAATGAAAACCAAATTTATATGGTTCCATCCAGATTCTTGTTAATTTGACAATTTAGAATGTAAATTAAATGGAATATTATATATGTATGTAGAACTGCATTCAAAATTTAACGAGCAGACTGTTCTTCTTCATACATACTACACTGCTTACATCGGCAACAAAACAAACATGGGGCAGCAAGGATCAAGAATGGAGCAGCCACTAGCATAAGTAATCCAAAACCGGCAAATATTCCAACAACCTATACAAAATCAATATTGAAATTTTTATCAAAAAATAAATAAATAAAATACTGCCTTTTATTTATTTTTTTACATATTACCTTTGAATGGAAAAGGATGGAAATTGAGAATTCGTTTTAAATTTTGATGTACAGTAATACCCCGAACTTACGCGATAGGTGGGACCGAGCGATAACCGCGTAAGTCGGGGTATAATTTCGCAATTTGTGTAAAATCCAAGTCGGATGTATGTAAGCTAATAAATGTTCTCATTAATCTTATCTCATCATTTGATTCGTTCACGGTTACAAAAAATCACCACATAGAGTCTCTTGAGTCTCCGTAGATATAACAAACACAGAAATAAATAACACAAAATAAATTGTAGCTATGTGTCGATTCCTGTGTCGAGAACAATAGTGTGGGGGGAGTGAGTAATCAAGAGTTGCGTGGCGCTCAAANAAAACCGGCAAATATTCCAACAACCTATACAAAATCAATATTGAAATTTTTATCAAAAAATAAATAAATAAAATAATAATAATAAACGATGATAATATATTTCACAATTTTAAATTTACCTGAGTTCTATGCCAAGCTACTGAAGCTCTGGAATGTCCTAATTTATTTTTACATGGTCCTTTATCATAATGTCTCAACAAAAAGTCATCCTAATGAATTAATTATTATTAAATTCCTCTTCCTAAAATAAATTTTGTTAATTAAGATGATAAATAACTTACATCCAAAGAAGCAAGACAGTACCAACAAAATACATGTTTACAATGCTTGCACATCATCTGGGCACACCCTTCATCTCTTTCAATAGGTATATGACATTTAGGACAGCGTTTAATGAAAGATTCATCATCATCGCTGGACATAAAACTGAAAATAAAACTGCATAAATTAGTATAATGTGAATGTACTGATTACATAAATTAGTATCATTAAAAGTAATAAAATGAATCAAGAAGAAAAGAAAGAAGATTCAAAAACACCAAAAGTATTTTTACTTCATTATACTTCATTACTGAAAAAGCAGTGATGTCATATGCAGAAGAGACTTCTCCTGCATATGACATCACTAATAAGCTAAAGTATTTAAATACTTATTAAAAGATCAATACTACTGATATTTTCTGAATTGATCCTAAGTTTAAAATAATATATTAAATGCTGCTTGTACTATTGCATATGTGTATATGTATATGTATCTATTTACAAATAGGTTATATTCCTGAGGTTTTGTCTTAGGTCTAAAACTAACTTATAAAGTACAATTTTACACAGAATAACAATAACCACTTGCTGTTAGTGTCTAATCCTTCAGTGTGCTTAATATAATTATGTTCATTTACCTGCTTGCTACTGCATAGTATAGTATCAGGTTTTTCAAACTTGTAAAACTGTTTTATTCTGCCAAGTTTAGTTTTCATGGTAATAGACAACATTTCTTGCATTTATCTCTATTGCTAGACTTATTATTAAATTTTGGATGCATTTTTGAAGTACTAATCTTAAAAGTTTATAAAAATTGCAAACAATAGTGAAAAATATCATTACTCCAATGTTACTGACTTTGACACCAACAAATCAGCAGCAATGGAACATGAGAATTCATGCAAAAACAAAAAAATGACAATATGCAATAGAAATAAATCCACATTAATTATTTATTAAAACTGGCCAAAGACTGACTTCAATGCTACCATGACTAGCAAGACAACTTCACAATCTGTACAGAATTACAATTTTAGACATATGGTCAAATTGTAAGTATTATACTTTGACAAATGGTCCTGTATTATACCTTGTATATTACTGTTTTTGTATTACATAAATAAATACCAATATATAATAATTAAAATTGGTACATTATGAGCTATATAACCAAGTTCAACTTTACCTATTACATCATGTATGACCTACAATGTTCAGCAACATTACAAGAGATGAGCAATAATGCCCTAATCTTGAAAGTGGTCACAAAAAAGCATAAGAACAGACTGGATTTGAAGCTATATCTTACTGCATATTATTTCAAATATATTAATAGCCAGATGGCTATTAATATATTTGAAATAAATTAAAATAAAATTAACTTACTCTTCTTTCTCTTTCTTTTCTTTTTTTATATCTTCACAAGTTTTGGTTGCATGCCAATATTCTTTACAGTAAGAACAAAATGTTAGGCTACACTGAAATAAAAGTAATTTTTAGTTTGTAATGATGAATTAAATGATTTAAATTATTTTTTTATTATATAAAAAAATTTTTATTTTAAAAAATACAGTAGAGCGTCGATTTTCCGAAAGTCAATCATCCGAAAGAATTCCAGTCAGCAAATTTAAATTTTCGCCAGTGCTGTGGCGCTTCAATCTTTGGCTATGTCTTGGGCTACTCAAATATTTTACGTTTTTGATACTAAATTAACATCTGAAGTATAATTTTTTATTATTTTTATATTTTTCAATATATTTATTTTGTTTGTACAAAATAAAAAAATAATTTTTAACGATACAATAGTCTTTGTTAGGCTTAACATCGACGAAAATTCAACGCGAAGCGACACGCAACGGAGAAAAATTTCGACATCGGATACGTTAAACTATTTTTTCGTACGTAAATCAGTTATCCGGACAACCCCAGTCCCCAATTGATTTGGAAAATCGACGCTCTACTGTATATATATTCAATATATACCATAGGCACCCATAGCAGGCAGCAGTTTCTCCTAAGATTTAGACAAGGATTTAAATTTCATTAAATTATTATCTCAATAACCAATTGGTAGAAATATATAAGGCATATCAAACTGTAATGGAGTCAAGATAATTGAGATCACATTAAAAAAAAAATAACAAAAGAGACTGACTTTATTTTGTGGGTTTTTTTTTCTTTGAATGTGATTGATTTCCTTTATTCCATTACAATTTCATAAGCCTCATATATCTCCAATTGGCTACTGAAATAATTATATTTATTAAAGGCAAGAAGCTTACAACTACACAAATTTCAATTACTTCACAGCAGAGTTAAAAAAAGTGCCTCCCAAAATCTGCTTTTATGATTTGTTTTTTTCAGTATGACAGTATTAATTTCAACTGAAAACTTAAAACAGTATTTAGTTTTAATATTTAGGTATAATTCTATCATTTAAATTTATACATATATATGTAGTCTGACTATTAGTTAGCATTTCATGTGCATAAAATACCAACTAATTGCCTGCTTGTCTGAAGCTGTGTTAATAAATACAATATAGTAAATTTAAATAAATAAAATACTGCCTTTTATTTATTTTTTTACATATTACCTTTGAATGGAAAGGGATGGAAATTGAGAATTCGTTTTAAATTTTGATGTACAGTAATACCCTGAACTTACGCGATAGGTGGGACCGAGCGATAACCGCATAAGTCGGGGTATAATTTCGCAATTTGTGGAAAATCCAAGTCGGATGTATGTAAGCTAATAAATGTTCTCATTAATCTTATCTCATCATTTGATTCGTTCACGGTTACAAAAAATCACCACATAGAGTCTCTTGAGTCTCCGTAGATATAACAAACACAGAAATAAATAACACAAAATAAATTGTAGCTATGTGTCGATTCCGCGCGACACATCCGAACATATAAGCTGAACAATAGTGTGGGAGGAGTGAGTAATCAAGAGTTGCGTGGCACTCAAACAAAAGACGAATTGACAAGATTTGAAAATCGCGTAAGTCAGGGTAGCATAAGTCAAGGTATTACTGTAGTTTAAATTAAGTTTACTGCAAAGTGGAAAAAAATCAGTTAATTTAATACCGAATATATGTGACTACAAGATCTGAGTTTGTTCAATAAACTTTTGACAATGTTTGGCACATTATTGAAAAATGTCTGGTTATTGACAATTGAAAATATCTGGCAACATTAGTTTAATATAAATTATTTGTAAGTGGCAGAATTTTTATTTTGTTTTGATGTGCAAGAATAATATATAGTATTGAGTTCATTGTAACAAAAAGAATCCAGCAGTCTTAAATTCTGTCAATAATGGAATATGTTGTCCAAATACAGTTAAGAAGGAAAATGAAGAATCATGCTCAGGTTTGACTTCACAGCATCAGACAAGCTGGCAATTAGTTGATATTTTATACACATGAAATGCTAACTAATAGAGTCAGACTACATATATTAACAAATCCTAGACATCCTAAAAAAGGACTATGATTTTAAAAAATGTGAGGGATAAATGTCCATTTAGAATGACTTTAAACATATCCTTGCCTACATTATTAAAAAAACAAAAAGTACTCTGTAAACATTGTGCTTTGTTCAGGCTTTGTGTAAGTCACAATAGTTATTGTGGAGAATTTGTTACCCATCCATTCACAAACAAAATACAGTAGAGCATCGATTATCCGAATCAATTGGGGACTGGGGTCATTCGGAATATCAATGTTTCAGATAACCAATTATGTACAAAAAAATATATTAATATATCCCATCTTGACATTTTTCTCCATTGCGTGTCACTTTGCGTTGAATTTTCATCGATGTTAAGCCTAACGAAGACTATTGTTTCGTTAAAAATTATTTTTTTATTTTGTACAAACAAAATAAATATATTGAAAAATATAAAAACAATAATGAATTATATTTCAGAAGTTAATTTAGTATCAAAAACGTAAAATATTTGAGTAGCCCAAGACATAGCCAAAGATTGCAGCACCACAGCACTGGCGAAAATTTAAATTTGCTGACTGGAATTCTTTCGGATGATTGACATTTCGGATGACTGACTTTCAGATAATCGACACTCTACTGTACTTCACAAAATAGGCTAAAGCACATTATGGTATCCAAATGGTAGCAAGAAGCCATTGAAAAGTCAGGTAACTTTTTAAAAGTAATGAAAGATAGCATTGAAAGTATTGAAGTTTTTGTAATTGTGAGAATCCGAACTTTAACAAAAATTAACCGTTGATGATGCCATACTTGCTCAACAATTGTTGTCCTCAGCTACCTGAGAAAATCTCCACTTACACTTTCCTGACGACAGAAGTGACATATTCCCGTGATCTGCCGACCTCTTAGCCAGGCGATATTGGACTGATATCAAAGTTGTCAGCTGAAGAGTCAGTTGTCACCCATTCCTCCAGGAGTATCGTCATCACAAAATTTCTCCAACTTTTAATTGTGTCAGTGCATGATCCTACTTGACTGGACATCTCACCTACTCGCCCTTGGACATCGCCTACCATTGCACCTTTACAAAGGAACTATCAGAGATTCAAAACCCTTACCGATGATCCTAAACAAGACTGTTACAACCTAACCACAACGAAACCTAATCCAAGATCATCACTCTGGGAACATCCTCTACAAAAGGTATTTATTGCCATGCGAACTTCATGTGAACTCTCTCTCTCTCTCTCATGACCCCGGGCATATTTAGATGCATTTTACTTGATTCAAACTTGTTAACGATACAACATGTATAAAAAGTATATAATTATATAATTTCTTTTAATAATAAATGATTGTTAAGTAACCTAGTCTCTGCATGCGTCCCTTCCCACTTGTTACCTCATGGTCTCCATCCCAAATCCGCTCGCGTGACCAACTTTCTAAACTAACCACCATTGCAGCTTCAGGGTCAATCGGGACCCAGTGGTGTCATTCCTGACAGGGCATCAAAGAGGTGCCAACCCTCCAGTCATATAATGAGCATGTAAAAATATAAAGAACCAGGTTTACATGAAATTTATACTCTCACCTCTGTTGTTTTGTGCTGGTTTGATTTGCCTTTAAGAGGAGCATTAACAAAAAAGAAGCCATCTTTGATAAATTTCTAAAGTTTAGAATGGAGTCAGACTACAGTTTATTTGGAAAATTGATCATAAAATGCAACACAAGAGTTACAGAACACAAAATTAACTGCTGGAAGCAAGATTATTATATTATCTTGTAGAACTTGCAAAGTGTTGTCTTAAAGATTTATTTTTGAATTGTATCTGATGAAACAATGGATACTGGTGGAATCGAGCAACTGTCATTAGCTGTCAAGTTCTTTGAGAATCATACAAAAATTATTCACATAGAATTTCTAGTTTTTGTACCATTAGAACATTTTGATGCAGGATATGTTGCAGATGCAATTATTTCTATTTCATATTTATGGGGTCTACATTGTCAGGCAGAACAGCAATGGTTGCAGCACAATAACAGGAAAAGTAAGTGGAGTCCAAAAGAGAATTACTGAAAAGTACCTTTTAGCTTTATTTCTCCAATATGTTAGTCATAATGACATAGTTGCAGCACTATATAAATATCTTGTGAAGGAAACCAAGAAACACATCAAGGCATTCCAACTTTATTGTCCCATAACATAGGTTTATCGTCATTCAATAATTATTGCAAATAGCCAGCAAAACTAATTTGTAACAGAAAAACTATAAACAGTCAATAACAATCTGCTGTAAACTGTAGACTATGTTAAACATTTAATTGAACTAATAGCAGTTATTAGAAAGAAAGAATGCACATGTCTTTCAAAGTCTTTTTTGTAAACTTTTTGATTCCTTATTCAACTTATTTTTTATCTTAATAAATAAAAATAGAATTACAGTAAGACCCTCTTAACATGGGGGATGCGTTCTTAGACTACAAAGCGCTAAACGAAACACCATTAAACGAGGTAATTTTAACATAGAGTAAATAGGGATAGAGGAACACGTGACTGAAAATCAAAAAAATTTTACTTTAATTTTATGTCATTTTTATATTAATTTGTATAATAATATATGTTAAATAACACAAACACATGCACGCAAAAATGTATAATAATATATTACTTAGTTCATTTTTTTCTATATTAATATTTCATTTTTTGTGACAAAGGTCCTAACTTTTCTGAAATTCTTGTTTTTTTGCAATAAAGTTGTGAAGTCTCATTTCTCACTTTCTTCTTTCTTTAAGCAAATGTCAGTAGCAGAAGATTGCATTCAAAATACCTCATTTTGCTTTTGCACTCCTTTCAAAATCTAGATCATTCACTACAATTTGATCAACAATTTTGGTTATTGTTACCAAACTTTTACTAAGGAAATCTATAGAGAAGTTTTTGGGGTTCTTCATTTTCAGAATCTCTGTTTTCCAGTGCTACATGAATTCCTTGTTCTGCCAGTTCTTGAAGGTTGTCATTGGTAAGGCTCTCACCAGAAACCTACTGTAACTCCTCAATATCCTGCTCGTCTAAATCTCCTAGTACTCAATATCCTGCTCATCTACATCTCCTAGTATCAATTAGGTTGACAATTTAATCAACCTAATGATACAGCAATAGGCTCTTCTCATTGAGAATTCTTGGATATCTTTAGCGATAACTTTTTCCATACTTCGTTCGTGCAATTATCGGTTAATTCTTGCCAAGCGAAGCCAGTATTGCCTATGGCATCCATGATGTTATATTTTTTCCAAAATTGCACCAAACAAACATAGATTTAAAGAAAGTACACCTTTTGCTGATTGGTTTGTGTTCACAAATAATCATATTATATACGAATCAATGAAATGCCGCAATAATTTAAATCAGTGTAAATTTTGAGCTTCTTTTTAGGTTTCAAGCAGACAGCATTATATCAAATCAGCATTAAGCGAGGCAGTGTTAAGTGTATAGTAAAATTAAAATTTTGCTGTAATTCTATTTTTAATATATACCTCAAGCACTTCTTTGTGATTGTTTTCATTCTCTAATTATGTAATTTGTTTTGAAATTTAAAAAAATAATAATAATAATTGTTATATTTTAGGCCATGAAAATATATAATGAAACATGAAATATATTCTAATTTTTGTAAGCTTAATACAGTAATTCCAGTGCTTAAAAACAAGTGAAGTCTTGACTTTGAAGTACAATGAACAACAGCAGATTTAAGAAACTGCACAAATTGAAGTTATGTACAGTACAGTACCTTTCTTTTAAATAACTTATTTATATTTGTGATTGTCTATGTAATTTTACACATAAAATCACTTATGCTCTTCAAAATAAGTTTTAAATTTATTGCAGACCTTCATATATGTTCCAATCTGCCCACAGACTACTGGTTGAAAACCACTGACCTAGATCCTTGTACCCAGCATGAACCCTGTATAGTTCATGCTGCCATTATAGCAGAGTGCTATCGAGGTCAAGGTGAATGTCGCTTTTAAAGAGATGATCTGAAAATAGCTGGTCACATAGCAATGTAGTTATTTCATATTTGTTAAATTGGTATTTTTAATGAATATTTGTACATTCTGTATCATTAAAAATAAACTTTTTCCTGTCACGTGCATTATAATCTTTTGGTTTTACTACTTGGGTATCAGGTGCGTGGAAAAGCAATCTTCAAAAGCTGATAGCAGTCATTCAGAAAATACTGCATTTTAAATTCACTCGACAGATCAGAGGATGATGCTTTGTGGAGTAAGAGTGAAAAAAAATGAGAATTGTAATTAAGCTTCGGAGGGCAAGTCTGAGAAGAGAAAAAATGATAATGTCAAGAAAACATGGTTGTTTGCCTTAATACGTGAATCTGATGATAATTTATTTGTGATTAAACTAAATAAAATTAGAATTGTATTAACAAATCTAATTTTCTTTATTTTGATCTTTAATTAAAGTCACACCACCTCATCCTATATGAATGATCATCTTATACGTGAGTAAATACAACGTTTTACGTATAATGTTTATTCAATGAAAATTATACAATATACATTGTTAAGGAGCATGAATCATCATCATCTTTTTTTCTAGCATGAAATGAACCAACCTGGAATGAGAATTCGATTTGCAGAAAACAAAAAATAATCACAGATAATAGCATGATGNAACGTTTTACGTATAATGTTTATTCAATGAAAATTATACAATATACATTGTTAAGGAGCATGAATCATCATCATCTTTTTTTCTAGCATGAAATGAAAAAACCTGGAATGAGAATTCGATTTGCAGAAAACAAAAAATAATCATAGATAATAGCATGATGGAGCATGCACACAATCTGAGACTTCCCCTCTCCTCGTCACTTGTTATACAAAACTTCGCTTGTTAAGCGAGTCATCTTTTAAAAATTTGATTTGCTCGTTATGCGAGGTGCTCATTAAGCAAGGTTCCACTGTAATTGTTTTTATCTGACTTTGTGTATTTGTTATTATAGCATCAGTAGAGAAACACATAAAAATTATATTAATATATAATATTACCTGTAGAATAAAATACTTACATTGGGACAGTGAACAGGAATTCCTTGATTAGTATCTGATGATTTCACAAGACATACAGTTTCACAATTCACTCTAGGACACCATGTTCTGTGAGGATCAAGTTCCACTTCTAAAAAAGTTTCATATATCTGATTAAAAATTATACTTTTAACATTAAAAATAAAAGATACAAGATATAAAAATATATTCATTGTTAACAAAAGTAATATTTAAATTTGAAAAACTAATAATAATAATAATACTCATAGATTCAGTCATTTTACGGCAAGCACACAAACAACACAGAAACATACACATGGCATATATAGACTACAGAAAACCATTCGACAGTGTTCCACACAGTTGGCTGCTACATATTCTACACATGTACAAAATACATCCATCACTCATTGCATTCTTCGAAAACACTATGCAGCACTGGAGAACAACACTACATCTCAGGGTTAGTAACACTTCCATACAAACAAACGAAATATTCATTAGGCGAGGAATTTTTCAAGGAGATTCCTTGAGTCCTCTCTGGTTCTGCCTAGCCCTGAATCCATTATCCAACATGTTAAACAACACGCATTATGGCTACAATATCAGACATGAAAAAACAACACAGTTTACACTCTCACATCTCATGTACATGGACGACATAAAACTTTATGCATCCACACAAAAACAACTTCATCAACTCCTACAAATCACACATTCATACACTAAGGACATACAAATGGAGTTTGGCCTAGACAAATGCAAAAAACTTCACATAGAAAAAGGAATCCTGAAGAAAGAAGATTTTGCACTTGGAAATGGAGACGTTATTGAATCCATGGAAGAGGGCGAGTTCTACAAGTACTTAGGATTCCAACAGGCCAAACTAACAGAACATACACAAATAAAGCAACGATTAATTAAAGAATACCAAAGTAGGTTAAACGCTATACTTAGAACACAGTTAAATGCAAAACACACAGTTAAAGCAATAAACACATATGTCATCCCAGTACTCACATACTCTTTTGGAGTTATACATTGGACTCACACAGATCTCGAGCAACTCCAAAGGAAAACAAGAACAACACTTACTAAGCATAAACAACATCATCCTAAATCCGCCACAGAAAGATTAACCCTTCCACGTAAAGAAGGCGGACGTGGCCTGATTGACATAGTTAACCTTCACTACAAACAAATACAGTCACTGCGAGAGTTTTTCTACAAGAAACAAGAAACATCACAGTTACATAAAGCAGTAACTCTAGCAGACTCAAATAACACACCATTAAACTTACACTCACATCATACAGACATGACACAACACATAAAAAGCATAGACACCATCAAGCAATCGTGGGCTCGAAAGGCACTCCATGGCAGGCATCCTTATGACCTGGCCCAGGATTTTGTTGACAAAACTGCGTCAAACAGCTGGTTAGATCGGGGATGCCTCTTTGGGGAGACGGAAGGATTCATGATTGCCATACAGGATCAGGTCATAAATACTAAAAACTACAGAAAACACATACTCAAAGATACAACACTCACAAATGACACATGCAGAAAATGTCACATCATGCCAGAAACTATACAACACATCACTTCTGGTTGCAAGCTCTTGGCACAGACAGATTACTTACATAGACACAATCAAGTAGCAAATATAATACACCAAGAGCTTGCAAAGAAACACAAATTGGCAGACATCCACGAACCATACTACAAGTATATTCCACAGACAGTATTGGAAAACAACACGCACAAAATGTACTACGACAGAGCCATAATCACAGATAAAACAATTTACCACAACAGACCAGACATCACACTCATTGACAAACACAATAAAATCACATACATTATAGACATAGCCATTCCAAACACTCACAATGTACAAAACACATGCACTGAAAAAATTAGCAAGTACACAGAACTCGCCCAGGAAATAAGGCATCTGTGGAGGATGGATAGGGTGCTTATTGTACCTGTTGTTCTCTCCTGTACAGGTGTGATACCACACACACTACACAAAAGCCTGGGAACATTACAATTGAGTAGAAATACATACATCACACTACAGAAGGCCACTATATTGAATACATGCCATATTGTTAGGAAATTCCTGAATACAGACACACACACTGACACACTTATTTAATTTTAGTTTTGTTTTGGTTGCTATGCCTTGACTTTGGTCTGGCATAGTACAAAGCCACTGGTGTGAACTGAGTATAACTCACAAAACCCAACATAATAATAATAAATGTAACTATCATATTATATAAATATGATAATTAGGAAATACAGCTATGTGATGTGAACATTAATAAAACTAGTAAATAGCCAGGATGATAATTACATTTAAAATTTACAAGAATGAAAAAGAAAATTTTACAAGTTAACAGAAGAAAACACAGGACTTTTTAATCTTTATGCTATGTCCCTTTTACACTTCGGAACAAACACTTGTAAATTTTTTTTTTTTTTAAATTTCTTTAGATTTTAAGACGTGATGTGAAATTTTACTTTTAATTTATGTGATAATTTTCAGAACAAAACTCAATTAGAAATAAAAATTTTTAAATACAGTTGACCCCCCCTATAAAGCGGGTTCATATAATGTGGATTCGTATATTGTGGCAAAAAAATTGTGACCGTATTCGTATAAAGACACTAAAAGAGACTCGTAAAATGCAGTAAAAGGTCATCGCCGACTCGTGTCGCGACAGGATTTGTCAAATCTGGATCAATAGTGGATGAGCAGCCAAACTACTTACATGCTACAGAGAGTTTAGGCGGGTAAGTTGAGTTTACTATTGTCTGTACAGTATATAGGCCTAAATTAGGTACTGTAAGTCTAATAAAGTACAGTAGACCCCCCTATAAGGTGGGTTNGACAATTATTATTTAAAAAAATTTGTTAGGTTAAACATCAATGAAAATTCAATGCGAAGTTGGTTAATAGCGTTATACTAATAAACTAATTACAATATATACTAATATACTAATATGGTATATACTATCCTAATATACTATACTAATAATGTATTTTTTCCCTTCTTTTCGGTTATCCGATTTTTTCAGTTATCCGACCAACCTGAGTCCCCAATTGAGTCGGATATTCGATGCTCTACTGTATTATTATTTGATAATTGAATAATGATTGTTCAAATCTTAAAACATTATCATTTTGATGATTTAATTACAAAATTAAACAATTTTAGTTACATTATTTAGCATTTATCACTGTGCTTTCAAAAAGTTTAAAAATGTTGAATAATCTATATACACAATATAATGAAAGTATGTGTAATATAGAGTTCAAAGCAGTGACACTCTCAGACTATAAAGAAAAGGGCACCACACATTATGCAAGGTGCTTCAAACTATGATTCAACACCAGCTCAGCAATCCAAAGTGGTGCTGGTTGCATTTAGGAATAACTTGGCCTTGAAAATAAGGAAAGTGGTTTTGGTCAATACACAATAAAAACATTTTTATAGTTATTTGTTCAAAACTTTAAAAAAACAAAAACATTTTTCTACAATGTGTAAATTCATCAGCCATTTTTTAAAATAAAAAAACTATAAAAATAACTGCATAGGACAATGGACAAATGTCATTCATTAGTTACTTTTATATTTGCAGAATATGCTAGATGTAATGAATGTTCTGTTGTGTTTCTTGATCATGGAATTCAAGGCCATTTTTGGAGATAAAGAAAAAGACAACACAGATGAAAAAGGGGCCCATGTCCTGATGTACGGGTGTCCCTGGTTCAAAGGAAAGTCTGTTCCTTCTTATAACTTTTAAACCACCTGTTACAGCACCAGGTAAGTAATTAGCACCTGTAGGAAAATAACCATGTTCGATGGATTGCAACATGATTTTAGTAGTTAATTTGCCTACTGGCAAGATCCACCACTACTAAATAAAATGAACTCAGAAACTAACAGAAATAGACAAAAAGTTCAATTACAAAATGAAAAAGCATTGTTTATTTAGTATGAACCAATACTTGGTTCAGAAGAAACATTTACAGGAAAGAGCAGAAAACACAAAGGAAGAATCAGCAAAAAAACTAATTTCCAATGTTTGGAAACAGTTATTGGATATGGTGATTATATGGAATGGTCACCATGGTTACCCAACTTAACACCAATGGACTTCTTTAAGGAATACCTAAAAGAAAGAAAGAAAAGAAGAAAAAAAAATCAAGTGTACATTACAAAACCTTCAACCATGGCAGATTTAAAGGAACACATTATCAATGCCTCTAATTCTATAACCCATGCAATGCTACATACTGTTCTGGATAATGATGTGTCACAAATCCAAAAGTGCATCATTACTGATGATACACACTTTGAATAATGTGTACTGACTATCTAGCAGGTCATGCAATGCAAAGTTCATGTGCTGCATGAACTTTGCATTACATCTGTGGTTTTGTTCATAAATATTTACTACATTCTTAATCTTTTCTGCACTTTTCTGTAAGTGTTTCTGCTAAAACAAGTATCATTTTGTACTAAATGCTCTTTCATTTTGTACTTGGACTGTTTCGCCTATCTGAGTATTAATTTTCTTTACTTCTATATTTCACCACTGGGGTGCTGAAATTGCATTAAATGGATTGCACACAGTAACTTTCCTATAGGTATCAATTACTTCTGTGGCAGTGACAGGTGGTTTAAAAGTCATATAGGGATGAACAGACTTTCCTTTAAGCCCTGTATATGAAAGTAGGTTAACTAGTGTACTGTACCTATAAAATTAAAAATTTATTAGTTATACACAGGTTGTCTAAAAAAACCAAGCATTTGTTCTAGAAATGTAACTAGATGGCACAACTAGTATCACTGGTCAAATTCAAAATTTTGAACATTATTTTATCAATCGTGCACAATAGCATTTGAATTGGTTCATAACAATCCTTTGTGTGGTGTGAAATGCAAGGGTTATTTTGTGACCCTTGTCAGAAAATTGCAATGGAGCAACATTAAGTTCTGCATAAAACTAAAGAAAACTTTTACCAAAACATTTAAGTTACTGCAACATATATGGGGATTATTGCTATGCCGAACACAAGTTTACGACTGGTTTAGTCAATTCAAAGATGGCTGGAAGTCAATTGAAAAAA